GGTGAGGGGGAACTGGGGGAGCAAGGGGGAACTGAGGGGATGAGGGGGGAACTGAGGCATCCAGGGGAAACTGAGGCAGTGAAGGGGAATCACCCAGAAAACAGGGATCGGGAAGGGGTTCCCCCCTGGAAGAGCAGCGCCCCCATTTTACAGCTTTATTTAGTCCAAGGCAAGCACCCTGAGCAGGTTTACCCGACAGCTCCCCTCATGTTTGTCCTGTGCTGAGGGAAGCACAAAAACCTGACAATTCCACCATGAAAACGGCTCGTTTACCACCCCAAGGCTGTGTGGGCCTGGCGGCGGTGTTTTATTTCTCAACAATTCCTCTTTCCTGCACAAATCAGCTATGAAAAGTGCTGCTGAGGACATTTCAGCCCTTTGGCTGAGTTGAGGAACAGGTGGATGGTTATTTGCCCCTTTTTGGCCAGCTCCACTATGGCTCCAGTCAGTGGCAGGGCTCCTTGCTGGGTTCCTACGTGGGATTTGCTCTGCTAGGGATCACTGGGGAGGGAAACACCTCTGCAAAACCAACCCTGCACCTCCATAGCTGATCACCCAGCCTTCCAGCCCAGGCTCACCCAGCTGAAGCCATTAACGATGGAGCAGACTGCGAGGGAGAATGAAAAAATGGAAGGATAACGTGGATTGGGGCTGCCCCCTCCAATTTCTGCCACGTCCTTCCTCTAGAAGTCATCTAGTACCTCTGAAAAAAAAATCAACCTGCATGTTTATTTTGTGTCTAAGCAGCCACGTTTGTAACCTGCAGCTGCTGGCAACAGAAAAGCCTTTCGCATTCGTTAAGAGAAAAAAAAGAAATGTGTGTGCACCAGAAAAAGAGATGCAGTGCTTCCCCTAACAGAAAAAACCATCATGTTTATTCAGGCTGTGTGTGTACCAGGACAATATAACTATTCTGAGGACACGTTGCACAATGGTGGTGGAGGAAGAAAAGCTGCTTCTGGCAAAGCAGCCTCAACGTGGGCAGCACAGGCTCGCCTTTGTGGCATTCGGAGGATCCAGAAAGGGTGAAGTGCTGCGGTTTCTTTTATTTTTTTCCAGCAGAAAGACTTAACAATCTCAAATCTGACAAAAGGGTGTCAGCGATGACAAGGATAAACACTGTCAGGCATGTCTCTTGCCAGCAAACAACCGAAAAAAGTATCCTGATGTGTATCTTCACATGCAGCAAATAAAAAGTAGCATCTCTCTTATTTCAGACAAGTCACATTTAAATTACTGATACAATAAACTTTTAATGAGAGATTCCACAAACTCATTTTACAGCAAGCAAAGAGTTTCAACCAATATGAGCATTTTTCACAAATCCCCTTCACAGTTCCAGTGACCCCGAAACAGAGGCAGAACGTGCTTTGGACGGTTTTTTGTTAGAAAGAAGGCATGCAAAAGTTTGGGTTTTTTGGTCAGAAGGGGATCAAACCAGCTCATCTCTCTCATCACCTCCTTCCACACCACACACCATTCCAAGAGCGGGCACAGGATGGATTTATGGTGATACAAGGATACAACAGTCGCCCCAGGGCACGCACCCAGTGGACTTTCTTTCTATAAAATAACCCTTTCCTCTCCAAAATGGTTGTTTGGGCGAAGGACGGAGGTCGGGAGCGGCAGAGGAGGTGGCTGCTGTTGGCCGTGCTCCCTCTGCCGGCACCGAAGCCGGAGACCGGGATGTTTGAGAGCTTTCCCACTGGGACTACTTATTAAAATCAAGCAGAGTACAAGGTATTATTCCCCTTCCTGAACATAATTAGAAGCTGGAGTGGTGGGAAAAAACACAAGTTTAAGAAGCAGCTCAATGCAAGGAGTCCTTTGCAGTGAACACTTTAGCCTGAGTATGTAACTTGTGCAAGGGAAGAGCGACACACTCGCCGTTAAAAAAAAGACACCCCAGAATCATTATTCTGAACAGAAACATTCAGTGCACACAAGAGATTCGGAAAATCCTAGAATCCTGCCTCAAACACCACACAAACGACAGCTGAAGGCAGAGCTGCCTTCCCAAATTTACCACACACACACAAAAAATAAGGCAAATGGGGGTTCCTGGGTTATTTACCAGCAGTTTTTGGCCACCACTCGGGTGTATTTGCAGTGAGCTTGACTTTATCACCCGCGATATTAAGGTAGAGAGGTTCGTTGATATTTGCCAACCTCAGCAAAGCTAGACCCAGATCACCTCCTCCAGCCCGGAATTTGCCAGCTGACTTTCCCGATTCGGTGACGATCTCGGCACCCTCGGGAATGCTGTCCTTGGGAAGAGGAGCCGAAAAGCGGACCGGCAGCAGCCGCTTGCGGATGACGCCCATGTGGTGGGTCCTGGCTGTCAGCTCCTGCCCGATGTAACAGCCTTTGGTGAAGCTGATGCCATTCATGTAGGCCAGGTTGGATTCCAGAGGGAGGGCTACTCCTGGAGGGAGATCTTGCACACCTTCGGGAATTCCTAGAGGGAAAAAGGTAAAACCAAATGGGTAAATGCAGTAAAAACTTCAGTATTTAAGATTTCTGGAGTATTCCTCCTCTGCGAGGCATAAAACTAAGAGAACCCATACAAAGCAGCGTGAAAGCTGGAGGGGAACAGATTTAGACTGGAGATTAGGAGAAGGTTCTTTACTGTGAGGGTGGTGGAGCACTGGAACAGGTTGCCCAGGGAGGTGGTTGAGGCCCCATCCCTGGAGATATTCAAGGTGAGGCTCAATAAGGCCCTGGGCAACCTGGTCTAGTTGGGGGTGTCCCTGCTGACTGCAGGGAGGTCGGACTAGATGGCCTTTGGAGGTCCCTTCTGGCCTGGGCAATTCTATGACTCTATGATTCTATGAAATAATTGACTTCACAGTTACTCTGGTTTGGGGTGAATGAATTAATTAGCTGTAAATGATGTTTACTGTTAAGAGTAAATGGAGAACTCCACTAGAACCTCATCTCGTGAAGGTCACAGCACCTCCCAAGCGCACTGGTGGAAATTCAAAGCACCCAGAAGGATGCAGATCCCACACGAAGTCATCAACGTAGACGTCACTGCCAAAATCCTTCTCACCCACACCCCACAACTAGACTTTAATGTCAATAAGAGTAATTTTCTTCAGAGCTAACGAACACAAGTTGGCCACCTGTCTTCGTTAAAGCCCAAACACCGAATGTCTGTGTAAGTAGCTGTTCTTTTCTGTGACCAATGACACCAAAATAGTAATTTTTTTTTGAAGCAGAGCGTTGGCCCCAGCTTTCCCCGGCGGCACAGCAAGACCAGGGCTGGTGTTTCAGGGAGGGGGGGCCACCCCCACAGTCCCGCCCAGTCTGACCCAGGCCACCTGTCTTCGTTAAAGCCCAAACACCGAATGTCTGTGTAAGTAGCTGTTCTTTTCTGTGACCAATGACACCAAAATAGTAATTTTTTTTTGAAGCAGAGCGTTGGCCCCAGCTTTCCCCGGCGGCACAGCAAGACCAGGGCTGGTGTTTCAGGGAGGGGGGGCACCCCCACAGTCCCACCCAGTCTGACCCATTAACAGCTTCCTTTTCCCAACCAGGCAGGCTCAGGTTTAAGTAGAAACCATCATCTTTCAGGCTGCCAATTAATTTAATCCACTGTCCGTGTGGCCGCAGTAAAATTGATGGGAGCTCCGTGCAGGCACAGGGGGCTCCTGGGACCGAGCTCCCTCTCACACCAACCGCCCGCCCCTTGGCCTCCCCGTTAACTCTGCAAACCCAGTCACACATTTTTAGGAAAGTCCATTAGGGTGTTTCCTGCTCCTTCCTTAGCAACAAGGAAAACACACAGACCGTGCGTAATCCCCAAATAATCAAAATGACTCAAACCACAGCCATCTCTTTCTAAGAAAGTGAATAATCCTGGGTTTTCCTTTGCTGTCGGCGTTCCTGACCCACTGCCCCATAATCTTTAGTACCAGGGAACTGTACCCAAATATTGATTCTGCCACGAGACAGAATTAAAGCCACCAGATCACTTTTATCCTCAAAGTAGCAAATAATACCTGTAGTTATTAACAGGTTAAACACACTGAGAAATACCAATGCGACTTTTATAATTTATTCCTCTTATTGAGACACATGAATGTGGCTTTAATAATTGATTCCTCTGTCTTATATCAATGTATGGACTCTGATAATAAGACGAAGCTGTGATAATACATAAATAAATAAACTTCCCCAAAATCCAGTGACACAGAGAGCGTAAAACGGGCCTTGGCTTTACCTTGTTGGTACCTGTGCCTGTGGTAATCCTCAATATTTCCAATCTGACTCCCAGGGATAGCCTCCGAGGGATTTACTCCTTTCTTTGTAATCAGTCTCCAGCCCATGACTTCTGTTCTGGGGTCAGGAGTTAAGAGCAGGGCCTGGTCTGCAGATTTGGCCAGGGAAGCGGCCATGTCTCCAGCCCGCTCCCCGGGGACGACGGCCCACAAAGAGAGGTCAAGGCGAGGGGCGATGTTTACTTTCCTCCGGATCTTGTACAGTTTGAGATGTTTTTGCACGGCCTCCAGCACGCCGCCGTCACACTCCAGCAGGATGTGTGGCTCTTCTTCTGGATTCTCGTGAAGCCTAAAAAAAGTAACACCTACAAGGTCAAGAAAAGCAAACGCCCCCCCAAAGCAGCGGAAGCCCAGGCAGCTTTATCTTGATCCTGGTGCGAATCCAGGGATCTGGGGAATTTCACCCACGGCTGCCGGTGCACACAAAAGCAGCGCTCAGCTCCTTGTAGTGAAATACTTTTCCAGCCATCCGTTCCACTCTTTTCTGGCAAATATTGTCTCGCCTCTCCTGGGGACAGAAATGGGTTTTGGCCGTGCAGTTTTCTGTACGGGTCACGCTCACCTAAAGCGAGGTGAATTTCAGCAGGAGGAGAAGCTTCCTTCAGCTCTGCCTTCCATGAGTTTCCACGCCGTTACCCTCACCCCACACACCACAAGCCCAATTTCTCCCTGAGTGACCTGGCCACGCGGTGTTAATTATTATATGTCACATATTAGTGACTATGGCACCTGTGAGGCAGCACAAACCCCTTGTTTTGGATACGGCCTGAATATACCCACAAACACACCTGGGGCCTGCCCTGAGCCCCACTTTAAACCTATTAAGATCACAGAATAGTCAAAGAATCATCGATGTTGGAAGGGACCTTTAAGACCATTGAGTCCAACAATTAAGATAACACTGATGAAACCACCACCAAATCATGTCCCAGCACCACACCTACCCGCCTTTCCAGCCACTCTTCCCCAAACCTAAGTGCTGCAGGGGGTTGTTGTGACCCAAGTGCAGGACCCAGCACTTGCCCTTGTTGAACCTCAACCCATTGGCCTCAGCCCATCAATCCAGCCTGTCCAGACCCCTCTGTAGATCCCTCAAGTAGATCAACACTCCCACCCAGCTTGGTGTTGTCTGCAAACTTACTAAGGGTGCACTTGAGCTCCTCATCCAGGTCGTTGATATTAAGCGGATCATAGAATGGTTTGGGTTGGAAGAGACCTTAAAGATCATCCAGTTCCCTCAACCCTGCCCTGGGCAGTGACACCTCCCACCAGACCAGGTTGCTCCAAGCCCCCTCCAACCTGCCCTTGAACCCCTCCAGGGATGGGGCAGCCACAGCTTCTCTGGGCAACCTGGGCCAGGCTCTCACCACCCTCACAGAAAAGAATTTCTCCCTAATATCTAATCAAAATCTTTCAGTTTAAAACTACTCCCCCTCATCCTATGGTTCCCCTCCCTGATCCAGAGTCCCTCCCCATCTCTCCTGGAGCCCCTTGAGGGACTGGAAGGGGCTCTGAGGTCTCCCTGGAGCCTTCTCTTCTCCAGGCTAAACCCCCTCAACTCTCTCAGCCTGTCCTCCCAGCAGAGGGGCTCCAACCCTCCCAGCATCTCCGTGGCCTCCTCTGGCCCCACTCCAACAGCTCCATGTCCGTCTGATGCTGGTGACCCCAGAGCTGGAGGCAGCGCTGAGGGGGATCTCCCCAGAGCGGAGCAGAGGGGGAGAATCCCCTCCCTTTGCCCTGCTGGGGATACAACCCAGAATGCGGGGGCTTTCTGGACTACGAGCACACATTGCCAGGCCACGCTGAGCTTCTCAATCACGCTATTTTTCTGAGGTAACTCACAGAGCCCCTTTTTTTTTTTTTTTACGCCTCAATTTATAAAGACGGGCCAGAGACGCCTCAGCGAGCGGCGCGCAACATGGCGGCCGAGCAGGGAAAAAGCCCGCCGAGCCCGCGCGCGCCCTTTCGTCTCCATGGCAACGAGAGGGCCCGCCCCCTCTTCCCCCC